GATTTTCCAGCATTAAAGGGACAGTTCACCTAAAATGACATTCCCTCATTATTTACATTTATCTAAATATTTATGAGTCTCTTTCCTTTAGTTGAACACAAAAGAAGATATTCAGAAGAATGTTGGAAATATACAGTCATTAATGGAAGAAATACTATAGAAGTCAATGGATGTTTTTTTCAGCATTCTTTACTGTATCTTCCTTTGTGTTCAACAGAAGAAACACACTCATACTGGATTGTATTAAGTAGGATTTGAGTTATTTAGTGCGTAAAAGTCAACACTCAAGTTTAATGCTGTCCAAGTAGGGAAATCTGAATTGTAAATGATTGGAGGTGGGAAACAGATCAGGATCTTGATCTTTTAGTCCAACAAATGGAGAAAACAAGCATGGATCACACAGAAACGACTAATCTCCTCTTTGATTAAACTAATTGCTGTAAGTATCCTTCAGCATTAGACTTCCTTTCTTTTTTTAGGAAATACTGCAGTTACTGATTTGCAGCGGTGAAAAGAGTAATCACACTCAAGTAAAAGTACTTACACAAAAATGTAGTGCGAGTGAAAGTATCTGTTGTAAATATTACTCAAAGTATAAGTAAAAAGTAGCCCTTTCAAAAGTACTCAAGAGTAGTGAGTGTTGCACTGCGAAAGGCTGATGTGTTTACATGCAATTTGTGAGTGTGTTTGAAAACGTAACATTCTGTAGTGCATTTAGCTGTTGTTTGAGGCTATTTCAGTCATCATACAGTAGGCATCCATCACCTCGTCAGTGTCATGCACCTAAAAAGTGTCTCAGTCATTTCATGTAACGATTTTGAGGTTTGATTTTGTTCCGTATGATTCGATTTGATTGGACAGGAATTACAAGACACATTTTTCTACTCAGCCAATCCCTATAGAGAATAAAAAATAAAGTAGTGACTGCAGGTTGAAGGAAAATATTGGGGTACCGATACAGTGCTAGAAACTACAATTCCTGACAAAAACGACTTAATTAGAGTAATTTGAGTATTTGTAATTTGTTCAACTCAGGCTCATTCTGAGAGCGTAGTCCCGCGGACGTTTCTGGAGACAGCGGAATACGCCCCGGGGGGTACGTACGGCCGCGTTAATTTTTTTCAAGCGAACGCTGCGGGGCGGTGTGACACTGTTCCCTTTCGCGCTTGCCTTACCTCCTTGTGGAGGGCTTCCCCGCTGAAACCCGTTTGTCCACTCAGCTCAGCGTGTAACGTCGGCAGGCTCGAGATGCAGAGAGGAGTCGACCACAGCGACCGGTTTCGAGTACGGGGAAGAGCGGTTCTAGCAATCAGGTAAGACGAAAACAGAATCCCAAAAATTAAGTGAACGAGTTTCGTGACAGGGTGAGAAAGTGGTGAAATCCAAAAACGTGGTAGAAAAAAAAAAGATCTGTTGTCCATGTCCATGGGACTACGTTTCCACAATGAGCCTGGGTTGAATTTGTTACTTCACACCACTGCTGATTTTTCAACTAGTTCCTGAGCCAAACTTTTAACAAAGACCACCATGATATAATTACAGTTGAAAAATGTAACTTTTTTTTGTATTTTCCAAGTGTTTTTTAATACATAAGAACATTTTTCACAGTAATTTCTTTTAAACTTTTCTTCTGGAATAAGTCTTATTTATTTTAGTTTGGTTTGAATATAGTGTTGAATATAGAGTATTTATTGGTAGTCCTAGCTTTCCAGGAGACAAAAAAAACGGGTGATGGGTCTGGGACTCATGGGAAAAATGGGGGTGTTGGCAGCTCGAGCCCCGAAAACGGAGCGTTTTGAAAACGCTGGAGAGGCCGTTTTCATTCTAAAATGCTGCTGCTCCGTTTCAGTGTGGATGAGGAAAAACGGAGACATCTGAAAATGGAGGCGGGACTGCTGAGATTCGCTACCTGATTGGGGCTTTTGTGTTATTGCGTATCCTTCCCTTTTGTTTTGTGTTTACCTCATAGTTAAAGTTGTTGCACGTTTACCGGTTCCTGCCTCAAAATGAGCGAGTTTGAGTCACTTGTACATCAAGGAAACGTTCAGGTAAAGCAAAACAGCAGCGAAGAAACTCGACACAGAGGAACATTAACACCTCACGGCCAACTAGCGTTTCGGAAGTGTAATGCAGACCAACAGAGACAGCGCACAGAAGTATAAATGCACAGCTACGCGTGTTGCATGTGCCGATGGTTACACCGGTCACTTGACGCAGAAGTATAAACCAGGCTTCATTCGTCAAGTCCCTATCACATGACTATAACACATGGCTGTAATGCTAACGGAAGACAGTACTATAAACAACAACATGGACACAGAAATGAGAGCGTTGTTTGCACTATTGTCTGTTTTAGGCGCCATTGTGCAGTTATTCATTTGTAACGTTTAGCAACAACTCGACCTCGTCGTCTGTCTACAAAAACACCTCTCTTGCTTTCTTTGCCATCGTGTTCATTGTTCAACCGGCGTTTGTTAACTAACAATAACCAAATGCCGAGCGAGACGCTTTCTGTTTATACTAGAACGTGCATGCCCAGAGTGCGCAAATGGTAACGTGATATACGTTTTTGATGGCGTAGTGTGGACGGAATATGTTCAGAGACGCTAGGTGAAACGCTAGTGTGGACGCGGATCGTTTTTGATCTAAAACGCTGTTTTGAAACTAAAACGCACTAGTGTAAACGGGGCCAGAGAGAGCTTTGTACTGTCTGTCTGTCTGTGTGTGTGTGTGTGTGTGTGTGTGTGAATGAGAGAGAGCGTGATGCTGTCTCTGTGTGTCACTTGCTTGGTGCTTATGTGTGTGTGTTTATATAGTATAGCTGTATTACTCTGTATAGCTGGGTGGTTTTCAGTTTTGTTCTCCCTCTCCGCTCAGACAACGGGAACGGGCAGAAAACGGGGCGAGTCGGGCAGCAGGACAACAAATGCTGAATATAATCGGGAGCGGTTGGGTTCAGACTAAACCTGGCGGGAGCGGGATTCGAAATTTAGTCCCGCGCAGATCTCTATTTTACAGTACTCAGTTGGTTTGAGTTCTCTTTATTCAATTGCTTCATTTACTCAAATGGATTAAGTTCACAGTACTCATTAGGATTAGTTTTTGAACTTAAATGGTTTGTTGCAATCGGTTTCCTCAAATGGTTATTAACCCCCCTTGAATTATTAGCCTCCGTTTATTACATTTCTAATCATAATAGTTTTAATAACTTATTTCTAATAACTGATATATATATACAATTTAACAGAAAGACTAATACTTTAGTTTTTGACTGCATAAACGATATATAATTTGAATATATAAAACACAATTATGCTGAGGATATGTTTTTCTAATCACGTTACTTTGAAACCGCAAATGAAACACTCGTAATTTGTCATAAAACTATTTGAATTGACTTATGCTTATTGTGCTCATGCATTTGTAATATTCTGTCATTTTGCTCACCTTCAGACTTTCAATCTGGACTCCGTCATCGCTGTATGTGGTCTCGTAATGATACTCCATTAACGGCATTCGGTAGCATCCCTCTATTAGTTTGCATTGAGCCACAGTTTGGATCAGCTCCACTTTGTTTGGAGTTTGGATGAAGGTGGAATCAAACTTAGTGGGGACACATGAAAATCCCTCTGTGAGATGAAAGATACGTGTTTAGTTATTAATGCGTGAATTCAGGGATATAATTATTACCTATAATTTCTCCAGCAGGTGGCAGGGTGGCTCAGTTGTTAGCACTGTCACATCACAGCAAGAAGGTCTCTGGTTCGAGTCCCGGCTGGGCCAGTTGGCATTTCTGTGTGGAGTTTGCATGTTCTCCCCGTATTGGAGTGGGTTTCCTCTGGGTGCTCTGGTTTCCCCCACAGTCCAATCACACGCACTATAGGTGAATTGGATAAACTAAATTGGCCGTAGTGTATGAGTGTGTGTGAATGTAAGAGTGTATGGATGTTTCCCAGTACTGGGTTGCAGCTGGATGCACAGTGATTTACCTGGTGCCCCTTTGGATCCGACACATTTGCCTACATCTATGACGGTCTCGTACAGCGTGTTGGAGTGGTATGTTTTCAGCGCTGGTGCTCGGACACACTGGCTGATTTTGGCTTCGCAGTGACAGTCCTGGATGATCTCGATCTCTCGCAGACCTTCATACAGCATCACTGGATCCACACGGACACCGGCCGGCTCACAGCTGGAGCTCAAACCACATGACGGAGAACCAATGATCACCTCTGAAGAGGAAGGATCAAGATGTCTTATCTGTAACAGTTAAGAGAAAAAAATCCCTTCTGAAGCACTGGTGGTGCATGAGGAGATTCCCCCCAATGTGTACAGTGCTCAACATATATAAGTGCACCCCCCACAAATGTCTCATTTAAATTCAGATTTTCTATAGGAAGCTTTACAATATTATGTTTGTGCATATAGATTAGATTAATCAGTATTGAAGCCAAATCTGGAGCTTATCTAACAACAAAACTTATGATAACGGTTCAAAATTGGACAACCAAATTTATATGTTAAATATTTTATATTAAATATTAAATAAATAAAATCAGAGCAAAATTCAAGATAAATAATAATAATAAAATGTTATAGGTTTTAATTTTCTTCCAATATTGAAGAGATAATAATAAAAAAATGTTGTAATTTTTTCCAATATTGAAGAGAAAATAATAAAATGTTGTAATTTTTTTTTTCAATATTAAAGAGAGAAAATAATAACAAAATGTTGTAGTTTTTACATTTTTTTCCAATATTGAAAAGAAAAAATAATAAAGTGTTGTAGTTTTTGCATTTTTTTTCAATATTGAAGAAAAAATAATAATAAAATGTTGTAATTTTTTACATTTTTTCTAACATTAAAGAGAAAAAATAATTATAAATTGTTATAATTTTTAATTTTTTTCCAATATTAAACAGAGAATTTTTTTTTAATTTTTACATATTTTCCAATATTGAAGAGAAACATAATAATAAAATTTTGTGGTTTTAATTTTTTTTCCAATATTAAAAAGAAAAAAATAATAATAATATTGAAGAGAAAAAAAATAGAAAATGTTGTAATTAAAATTTGTACCAATATTTTTCATAAATTTAAATGCATTATTATTTTTTATTTCCAAAGATGTTTGGTGACTACAATATTATTTTAATAAAAATATACATTTAATAAATGCACCAAAATACATTGCCTATATTCAGTGAGAAATTGATATATATATATATATATATATATATATATATATATATAAATATATGTTTGGTGCGCATTACAAACCAAACGATCCCAAATGACGTGACAGGCAACATGCTGCCTTCCCCACCCACCTCTAAGCACTACTCCAGTCAGGCACATGCTGCACTAGCTCGCAAAATGGCTAGTAAAGTTAATGTAATCTTCGTGTAGACCTTTTTCTTGGCAGCTACGTCTTTAAGTAGAATGTTTAGAACTGCCGTACAGTGTTTACAACTGCTAATTTGCGGTTTCAATAGTGTTTTGTGTGGATTACAGAGTGGTTTTGTGTCTGTCATTTCAAAATGTCACTTTATTTTCACTTTATTTCACTTAATTGTCACAGTTATTAAATCAGTGTGTTAGTGGTACAGTACAATAGGCTAGGTGTGTGTGTCAAACATTTTGGTGAATTACATGTGTTTGGGCTGCTTATATATGAAAGAAAGAGAAACTGTTGACTTTAGAGATGACGAGGTTTCATTTAAACAGCAGAAGATATCGACTGACAACGAGGGGAAATGCTTCACAGCAGTTGTTTTCCATCCCATTAGATCACATTTTTTTAAATGATCAGTCCAGGAGGTGGCGCTGATCGGCAACAGTATTAGTTCAAAGATGATGAAAGCAGGTAAAACCGATTAAAGCTATCATTTCAAAGCTGTCCAATTGTGACTGTTTATAGACATCAGCTGCTGACCGGAAGTTCTTAGCGTTCTCCTTGCGTTTCCCTGTAAGTTAAGAGGGTGATGGAAAGAGACTGGTGGAAAAAAACAATGACATCTGCTATGACAGTAAGGCTGCTTTCACACCTGTGAATCGATTCAGTTGTTCTGAAACAGAGATTACAAATGTTACATTGTTGCTCTTTGCTCTTGGAGCGGTTCACTTTCACACTGCAAAGTTTCTAATCAGACCAAAAGAGCTAAAAGAAGTCACGTGTGAGTAAACTCTCCACACATTGGTCAGAGTGTCAGGGTTTATTTTGCAGAGTCCCGCTAAGCTGTCTGGAGAGGTGGTGGTTTGGTGGTGATTGACAGGGTGCGCGCACAATGTGTCTGAGGAGAGATGCGGTGGGAAGGGGTGAAAAGGGTGCGCGACGATGCCTATTTGAGGACCGGGAGGGAGACGCGAGATTACCGGGAGATCATCACTCGTTTGCAGGCATCCGGAGACTCGCGAAACTTCCCGCCCTACTCATAATTCTCTCTTCATATAGCTGTATGCCTATTACATATCCATAAAACACTGTGATATAACCGCACTCGGATCGGATCGCCTTCTCACTGCAATCGAACCGCTCCAGGGTTCGTTTCAATCTAGCCGAGACCACCTCATTCAAGCGATCTCGGAGCGATTACTTTGGCGCGGAACAGAGCGCGATTGCCCTGTTCACATATGCCAAATGAACTGGGCAAACGAGACACGTTCCGAAACAAAGGTGTAGGTGTGAAAGCACCCTAAGTTATTTTAGCGATAATATTTGAGCATGTCAACTCATTTACGCTGACATCAAGGTAACACTAACTGGAATTAGACAAAAACTGGAAACACGCGCACTACATGCAACTATTCCCGTAGCATTCAGACAGGCAATTCCTACAGATTCGAACAGGGCAAAACAAATCACTGAGGCGATCAGTACATTTATAGCTGTGCATATGAGAGACCTTAATCGGTAGTGGAAATTTCAGGTTTTAAGAAAAAGTTCAATGTAATAGAGCCCGGTTACATTATTCCTTAATAAGCCCATTTCAGTCTGATAATTCCTGCTTTCAGATCCACTATAATGGCAGGTGACCGTCAAATCGGCAGATCTGAGCTGTCTGAGGAAAAGGTGGTCACTCATCTTTCTGAAAATAAAAATAAAAACTTAAAAATTTATTAAAACTGAGTTCCATATAAAAACTAAATTGTTAATTTTTTTATTTGTTTAACTACAACAATATTACATTTATTTTTTTATAAGCAGCTTTTTGGTTTTGAGTATAAAGAAGGATTTGATTTAATTGCTGCTAAGCAGAAACCCCAGAAGAATAGCTGTCACTGTTTAAAGTAAAAGAAAAAAAAAAGAAAAAGATCATACTTTTACGATGTTATTTTAATACATAAAAAAACTTAAATCAGAGAAATCCTCTGTTTTTTTTCTTTTTTTGCTGTATCGAAAACATACTGAACCGTGACACCACTGTGTCGTGATTTTTGTGAACTGTTACACATATATATATATTTTATTGGCGAGGCAGTGGCGCAGCAGATAGTGCTGTAGCCTCACAGCAAGAAGGTCGCTGGGTCGTTGGTTCAAGCCTCGGCTCAGTTGGCCTTTCTGTGTGGAGTTTGCATGTTCTCCCTGCGCTCACATGGGTTTCCTCCAGTGCTCTGGTTTCCCTCACCGTGCAAACACATGCAGTACACGTGAATTGGGTAGGCTAAACTGTCCGTAGTGTGTGTGTGTGTGTGTGTGTGTGCGTGTGTGCGTGTGTGTGTATTTATATATATATATATATATATATATATATATATATATATATATATATATATATATATATATATATATATATATTAATCCACATTGGTGGATTAAAGTATTTTTATTTATTTATATGTATTAATAAAGTAAGGTAATTAATTTGAATAAATTATTTGTATACAATATTTTAATTTATAACTTATTTTAAATGTTTTTTTTTTTCAATTTAATTAAGGTTGGTGGGAGAGTACAGAAATATTATATAATTTAGTATTCTGTACTGTTCCATTGTTTTTTTTTTTTTTTTTTTTACAAATTAAATTTAAATCAATAAAAACAATAGGGAGTTAATTGCAGAATATGCATACTTTTGATATTGAAAAATGTCGCCACCTTGTGTACAGCTGTGGAATCGCTTTACCTTTTTATGTCGCAGGAAATCCAGCATTGAGGAATATTTAGAGGCTCTTAGCCCCGCCTCTAATGCCACAAAATGCGCTGATTGGCCACAGTGCGTTCTGCAGACGCCCACATCTACATTCACTGGACTGCCTGAAATATCTGTTACATCAAAACAAAAGGGAAGAATTTAAGACAAATCATTTTCAAAAAAACATCAAAACTACTTAAAACAGCTAGCTTGATTCTTTAAAATAAATTAATCAATATAAATAATCAAAATGAAGTATAATAGATATAAATGATGGGCAAATTAATCAAGTTAATTAATCAAGCTTGTTTTTACATATTGTAAGTGTGGTGTACTGCGTATATTTATATAAATACACATATGTATGCATAGACTTGAGAAAATGTTTATTTACTTATATTTGATATATTCATTTTTTAATATATTCATTTATTAATTTTCCTTCAGTTTAGTCCCTTTATTAATCTGAGGTCATCACAGCGGAATGAACCGCCAACTTATCCAACATATGTTTTACGAAGAGGATGCCCTTCCAGCTGCAACCCAACACTGGGAAACACTCATACACAATCATTCACACACATACACTACGGACAATTTTAGCATACCCAGTTCACCTATAGTGCAAGTGTTTAGACTTGCGGGGGAAACCGGAGCACCTGGAGGAAACCCACGCCAACACAGGGAGAAAATGCAAACTCCACACAGAAATGCCAACTGACCCAGCAACTTTATATTGCATTATATTATATTATATTATATTTATTATATTATATTATATTATATTATATTATATTATATTATATTATATTATATTATATTATATTATATTTTTCCCAGAGATGGGAAAGGGCATCCGCTGCGTAAAAACTTGCTGGATAAGTTGGCGGTTCATTCCGCTGTGGCGACCCCAGATTAATAAAGGGACTAAGCTGACAAGAAAATGAATGAATGAATAATATAATATAATATAATATAATATAATATAATATAATATAATATAATAAATATAATATGATATAATATAATATAATATAATATAATAAATATAATATGATATAATATAATATAATATAATATAATAAATATAATATGATATAATATAATATATTATAATATAATATAATATAATATAATATAATATAATATAATATAATATAATATAATATAATATAATATGATAAATATAATACGATATAATATAATATAATAAATATAATATGATAAAATATAATATGATATAATAAATATAATAAATATAATATAATATAATATAATTTAATATAATATAATAAATATAATATGATATAATATAATATATTATAATATAATATGATATAATATAATATAATATAATAAATATAATATGATATAATTTAATAAATATAATATGATATAATATAATATATTATAATATAATATGATATAATATAATATAATATAATATAATATAATATAATATAATATAATATAATAAATATAATATGATATAATATAATATATTAGAATATATTATGATATAATATAATATAATATAATATAATATAATATGATATGATATGATATGATATGATATGATATGATATGATATGATATGATATGATATGATATAATATAATATAATATAATATAATATAATATAATATAATATAATATAATATAATATAATATAATATAATATAATAGAATAGAATATCAGGAACAAATAATAAAAAACAGACTTTTAATCTTTGGATTTCATCCAGCAGTTAAACCTGATTCTTGTTTTTATTTACAGTAAAATCAAAAGTAATCATTATCATGAAATACTTAATAAATAATAATTCTTTATGACTAACCTTTGCCGATGTAGATGACGTGACTCTGG